CTACTTTATTTCAGGAACTGGGGGGACACAGGCCGGACTCCCCTGAGCTGGTGCTAACGCGGCCGGGGGAGGCCAGAGCTGCAGAAGGTGCAGCAGCGGGGCCGTGAGGGGCCAGGGCCTGAGCATCCGCCCCACGGCCGCCTCACTGCCCGGAATGAGCCCTAAAGCGCCAGGCTCCCGGGCGGGACCCCACAGTTCTCTTCCGCGAAGCAGTGGGGTGGCTCCCGAGCCACAGGACTCTCTGCGGGCCCCCCCCCCACCCCCCGTACACACACACACACACACACACACACACACACACACACACGAAGTCTCGCAGACGCCCCTGGCTGCTGGAGGAGAGGCCTCTGCTGGGCGACAGGCGACAGAACTCATTCTGAAGCAGCTGCTGTCCTCGGCTCCCGTTGGGCCCCCGCTGCCGTGGGGACAGCGCTGGGAGGAGAAACAGCTCTTTTCCGGGAGCTCAGGACGATAAATCCGCCGGCAGGGTCACCTCCGGGCCTGTCTGCCCTGCTGTCCCTGCGCCGACGGCTCCGTTGCTTCCACCCGCTCTGGGCGGACGCCTCAGAGGCACGGCTGGCGGGGCAGGGACTGGCTCCTGCAGCTCGGACTGGACCCTGACCCCTAACTGGCCAAGACCTGCTCTTCCAGGGACATGGGCAGGTGCACGCACCGGGGAGACCCGTGACACTGACGGAGCGGCCCTAACTCCATGGCCTCGTGTTCCTCGGGCGGTCACGGTGCAGACAGCTGGTTAAATCACCTGCACCCACTTCTCCTGCGCCTGAGGCGGTGGGAGACGGGCACGAATGGGCAATAGAAACCTTCAGGCTCACAAGGCTCCAGGACACAAGCTGAAACCACAGGCACTTCTCCCTGCCCCACAGCAGAGCGCGGAATGCAGGGTCACATGACAAACGGAACTGCTGGTGGGACGGAAACTGGCCATGGTCCCCCCAAGTGTAGAGATAGCCATCAGGGTGCTGGCCACAACGCCAATCTTATCTATAGAAAAGGCTGATTGCAAAGTGTCCCCTTGGGAGTTTGACCAGGAGAACAGGAGTTCGAGCGCTCGCTATGACATGCGCTGACCACCAGGGGGCGGTGCGGAACACGGTGGGTGAACAGCGGTGCTGAGGGAGCCGGGGAAGGAGGAGGCGGGGAGGCGGGGAACCTGATGGGCCCTGATCACCGGCCAGGCCTAGGGACCCTATCCATGCACGAAGTTCATGCACCGGGCCTCCAGTGTTAAGACACAAGTCTATCTGTATCCACAGCTGTCTCCCTCCTCCCCAGGAATGTCCCGTGTAAGCTGCCGTCCTGCAGAAACAATCAGAAGGAGCCAAGCATTTCTGTAAAGTGATGTAGGTTAGCATCAAACAAAGAAAACGGGAAACCGTCCACCAGCCGCAGGGAGTGGCTGGCGCACGCCTGCACGGTCAGGGTGAGGAAGGCCATGTGGTGAGTGAGACCAGAGGAAGTGTGCACAGGCGGGTGTCCGTGATG